GATAAGTGTAATAATTATAAATAAATATAATAAACAATATGAATTATATTTATCATTATTCACAAATATAACTACTTTTAAATTCAAATTAACATACTGGATAATAAAGATATTCGGTATAACATTAAAAATTTTTTTCATACACTTGTATCAAGTTTGTATTTATACAACATAACTTGTAAGTTCCTTATAAATATTAGTTATATGTTCCTTATATGTCAAAAATGCATAGTAATAAACTTTTAATTTTCTTAAGTATCAAAAAAATTTTTTTTTCTTTCTTCAAAATATAAATACAGTACACTCTCGATTATCTGTGTGCGGATTATCCGGTTTGCCGATTATCCGTGCTCATTCCGGAGTCACACAAAAAATATAAAGAGAAACATTTTTAAGATTAAAAAAATTTGATTCCTGAAGTTATAACACTACCAAATTTTTGGAATCAATATTCGTTATTGGATTGCAGTATATGGAATATCAGCAGCATGGTCAAAGGTAAAATCGTCTATGTTATCACGATGTTGGAGAAAGATCATACCGCTTGATGAACAATCCTCTTCAGATGTTCAAGAAAAATATGATAACAGTATTCTCAAACAAGCTAAAGAAATCTAAGGTTTCGAAATTCTTGATGAAGAAAATTTAGAAGATTGGTTTAAAAGTGATGCATATGAGCCTGGCTTCCAGTATTTGACTGATGAAGACATCGTTATGTTGTTAAATCAAATAGTGATGATAGTAACTGATGCAGAAGATGTAGTAAATGAATGAAATACAATTTCTCATTCTGCAGCTCTGTGGAAACTTTATTAGATTATATGGGAGGATTTGATTACGGTGACATTACTGCGGCTCATAAAATATGTGTATCGATATATGGCGAAGACGCATTACACATTTTTCAATAAGGAAAATTCCTAGTTTGATGTTATGCATGCAAATGTCAGTAATTTTTATATTTTTTGTACTGATATTGAATTTTCCTTAAATAAAAGGAGTTTTCGGATTATCCGTGTTTCTCAATTGTCCGTACGACCTGCCCCGGTGATTAACCCGGATAATCGGGAGTGCACTGTATTTAAAAAATTTTTGTGCTTAATTTTTCTGCACATGCATTTGAATATAAATTTCTGAGATTTTAAATCTGTTATTTTACCTTAATTTTAATTAAAAAATATTTTAAAACCTGCTGATTACCTATAGTATAATTAAATTTCAATATAATGCATGGCAACTGTTGGTAGTTTTGAAGTTTATATATTTTCTTGGTTAACTTCAGTTTTGGACATTTTTGACGGTTTAAACCAGTATCATACCCTTGTCATGTCAAAAACCACTTTTTGACGTCAAAAACCCAACCCTGGAACTAACCAAAATTTATGTTACATGGAGAGGAAAACCACGGAAACCTCTTATGATTAGCTAGACAGCAAAGGGACGCTAACCCATGATCAGAGCTGCCAACTTTCTATGCTTTTTGTAAAAATTTATTAAAGTGGTAGAGTATGTTTTAATGTATTATTTTTTATTCATTAATTTTATTCATTCATGGTGAGATAGTCCGAAAGCTTTGGTTTTTAAATATCTACCACTCAATAAAATATTTTGCAAAAAGCTTAGTAGTTGGCAGGCCTGCATGATCTGTCTATCACGAGGAATATTTACACCGGCACTGTGGTGTGTACAAGAAGGGTGTGGCATTATTATTGGCCAGCCATCGCTTTTATACAAATCAGGGTCACCTAACTGGGGGCTTTTTTTAAAATTTTATAACCGTCATTGAACAGCCGACCCAATTTTATGGGTTTTACGACTACTAATGTTCAACTCCATAGCCCTGTAGTTTTGAACCCAATCCAGAAGACAAGGGAACTCCTGGAATGAGTATTGAGAGAAATTTTGCCTTCGTGGAGGACTTTTTGATGGAGCTAACCCGCATTTGCGTTACATGGAGTGGAAGACCACGAGAACCTACCACGGTTCGCCTGACAGCAAGGGGACCAACCCATGATCCGTCTATCCCTGAGGATATTTCACGTCAGCATTGTGGTTGGTGCAAGCCGGATTCGATTCCGGTTCATGCTCTATCCCCTGAATATTAAGAAACTAGGAGGGTTAGTCCCTGATCCCTAATGCTCAACAACCCCTGGAACTGTGAAAGTACATACAGGAAGAAGGGGTCGGTCCGGGCTTTTGAATCCGACCTTGCTTCACTCATTCAATCGATAGTCAATCTTTGTATACTTTTATGAAGACCAAAGTATTGAATAAATAGTCCATATAACTTTTCTCTGTACAAAATTATAAATATATATATTTTGATATTAATTTGAAATTGCAAACAGTTTACATATTTTTCTTAACTTCACAATTCTAAATTTAGGTGTTCAAAAGCACAAGAGATATAAATAAGTCATCTATTTTATCACAGAGTTGTAAAATATATAAGAACCAAAGAAGAGTAAGTAAAATAAGTAAAGTCTTAAAAAAGGTTAAAATTTAAGTAATGATTGAAATAACACTTTACGTTGAATCCAATGCTAACAATTCAAATTTCTCTGAGGCAATTCTTAACCACTCAATTTCATTTTTCTTACGGACACATTTCTAAATTTCAGTGTGCAGACACACAGCAAAAATTTGAAACTGTATAGAAAATCTTACGTCTCTACAAAAATGCACAGAATGAAAAAAATTTTGGAGCACGAAAAATAAATTTTCGGCAATCTTATCTTTATGCAAAACTTATTACTGAAATGAAGCAAAAACTTGTACAGAGAAGTATTGTACATTCAGAGAAGTATTTCATTCCTACATGCTATAAGTAAACTATTTTTACTTGATATAATAGTACCAAAATAAACAAAAATATAACAGAGACACTAAATTATAACCGTAGATTTTGTCCACTATCCCAATCTTCAGTATCAACAGACTGTTTCTCTAAAGTGTTAACTTATAATTTGGCTTGTTTCAGATTTTCGTAGCCCATTCGATATAATGTAAAGTTACTTTTTAAATATTTTCTCTTATTCGTCACTAATGTATGAGCCTAGTATTAGTTAATTAGTTACTCTGTTACTATAATTAGAATACAAATACATTAAATAAAAGCATATTTTAAATCACATTTTTTATTATTATATCAGGTTATAGCAATTTTAATATCAAACAATTAACATTTATTGATTACATTCCACACAATGCACAGATATAGAGTCATAAACAGTTTCTTACATTTTATTACTTAAAAGTGTAATGTGTAGTGTCTGTAATTACAGGCTACAAAATATGTTGCTTTAAAAAATTTATGAAATGCCCCTGAAATATATTTTAACTTTCACATGTTACAAAATTTGTTTTATAAATTAAATTCGTGTCTGAGTTGGTGTTTACCTTGTAAAAAGTTAGTGTAATTTAACTTTGTATATTAAAGTCACCTCTTCCAAAATTAATATTTTTATAAGACTGAAGATTTGTAATTCAAATAAGAAAAACTAGTTTTATGATAATTCATTTACCTGTTTTTTAAAAGTCGGAGTTCACGTTTTCGAGATGCTTCTTCAGCTAATTGTTGGGGATTCTGAATGGTCTGAATGTTGGAAACCACGTTCTGTGTGAGACCAGAAGTCGGTGAAGCTCCAGTCCTTATTTGATATGCCTGAAGATCGGCAGCAGATACTGTCACTAATTTGAAGGAGAAAGTATATAACATCAGATAATTGTCAATCATAAAAACTAATCTATAATGTAGGACAGATTAGTGTTTTTATATAAATTATCTCAAATATTTATTCTATTTTCTTCAGCCTAACTGACAATCTGAGAATTAACAAATTTTATCAAACTATAAAGAAAGAAAAATTAGCACAAAATAAATACAAGAACACCTATTGTTAGTAAAAAGAGAAGCATATTTTTTTCTGGTCAAATATTTATTTGTATCCATTATAGAACATAATAATCGATCAGTATATAATTTCTGCCACTTTTTAAGACAAGGCCCTTGGTGCCTCTCTAAAAAAATTTTTAAGACAGAACTTATTTCTTACCAACTAATACAATCTAGCGCTGTTTACCAGAATTTTCAGAACTTTTCCTTTCATTTTCTTAATTTATTTTTTCACAGCAAACAAGATAAAAATATTAGTTAACCTTGTAGATCTTTTTGCACCAATCATTGGATAATAAACCACAATTTTTTTATGAAGTTATTCATATTTACTTTTTTTCTCTTTCATCATTATTTATTCCTTGTCCTATCTCTATACATTTAAAAAAATAAATAATCTTAACTTTGTTCAGCATTTCAAAACGCAAGGGAAAAATGAAAACTTAAAGAAATTTAGATATAATAATAGAACAAATTTTTCTTTAAACAAGCAGGCACTAAAGTTCAATAAACCTCATTCTTTCATTGCAGAGCGACATCATTACTGGATCACTTAGCAATAATTATGAAAAATAACAGTTTTCATTAAAATGTAATATTTGTATAAAATTAACTAGAAAAATAATAGAAAATGTTTGTACAAAATTAATATTTTTTTAAGGAAAGGGCATTTTAATTTTAAGAACAAATAGAAAAGGAGATTAATTGATAAAATTTAGTCTCATAATTTTTTTTTCTAGACTTATTTTAGTCTCCAGGACTAAAGAGTAGCCCAGGGAAAAGGCAAGCCCATCCCAGCTTTTACAAATGCGCTGTTATTACTTATTCATTGTTTTTTAAGAAGAGGCTAAGAAATTAATCTATATGATTCTAAACCTTTTTTTACATTTTAGATAATAAAATAAATATAGTCTTTTAAAAAACAGAAAGAAAATATATAAAATATAAAAATGGCAATTTAAATACAAAACACCTAATTAACATAATTAAAAATAAGAACATTTACTAATACTGAAAGAAAACACAAATAATTAAGATCAAAAGGATAAAACTTCTTTGAAAAAAACGCGCTAAGAAGCAGCAGAAATTTCAGAAAAAAGTATCAATACAAAACAAATGAAATAAAATAAAAATATGACCACCGAAGCCGACGTCTTCAGGGGGTACCGGCCCCGGTAGCCATTAAAAACAAAACCATTTCTATTTGAGGGAGAAGCAAAAGCTTAAAATATCTCCCTCAGTACCCCGATGGTTTTGTATAGAGGTCCAGGAAAAACAAGATACATTCAAAAGAATAAACAAATTACGAAAAGAAAATCAATAAAAATCATCAGAAAATNTTAATTTTTTACTAAATGCAATAATTCTTTTTTCAATAACTTTTTTATCTTCTTTTAACTTTAAATAGGTATTATTTGCATTATATTCCCCAATAATCAATTTTTTAAAAAAATATTTACACATAATACAGAAATTATTTGAAGCTTTATCTACAACAGTAACAATGAATTTATCCTTAAGATTTTTAATTTTTCTAGATAAATCATAATCAATAAAAGTACCTTTAGGAAATGAACTAAAACTGGTATTAAATAAATTAAATTTAACCCTTTCAATAATTTTAGCTTTCCACTCAGAAAAACCTTCAACAGGCCAATGATATTTTCTGGAAATTTTTGCAATAAAAAAATCTAGATCTTTTTTAATGGATAAAATAAAATCTTCTTTTTTCATCTTAACTCTGGTTCTAAATTTTGAACCCTTACTTAAAATGCTAATTAGATCCTGATCACCCACAATTTCCAAATCCTTTTCCACAAATCCTTCTCCCTCAAATAGAAATGGTTTTGTTTTTAATGGCTACCGGGGCCGGTACCCCTTGAAGACGTCGGCTTCGGTGGTCATATTTTTACTTTTATTTTATTTCATTTGTTTTGTATTGTAACATTTACTAATGTAACTCAACAAAAGTAAATTAGGGACAGATCCCTTAGTAAGCAACTTAGTAAATTCCTTATTGTCAGCATCTAATCCTAATCTTTGTCAGTTAAGAGATTTAAATTTTATCAATTATCAAAGCATGTAAATTTAGTGCTTACCTCATAAAATATTAATATAAATGTACTAAAAAAAGAACAATTAAAAAGGAAGCAAATATAAAATAAATTAGCCAAAGACTAAATTGTTTAAAAATTCAAATTCCCAGACCTTATTCTTTTTTAATCAACAGATTTAAAGTTTTATTTGACTCAAACATTTGCTTAGTTATTAATAAATATTTAGAAATGTCATTATTTTTTAGCATTCTTAGACATACACAAGAAAGACTTCAATAATAAATAATTGAAGATTATAAAATGTTAAAAATAATTAATATAGCTATGATAAGAAGACGCATGAATAACAGTAACAATAAGGATATAGAGAAGCAAAATATTATTTATATTTTGAATTTAGGTGTTATTATATAAATAACACCTAAATTCAGTGGCGCGACAGCTCATAGAGGGCCAAGGTCTACTGTGCTCATCTCAATTTTCTTGACCTTGGGCTCTAGGGTGCAGGAGTAGATGTTTCGGAGGTCAGCCGAACGCGGAACCCCCAGTGTTTAGTTCCCAAGTATGCTTGGTACTCATTTATCGACCCACTGAAGGGATGAAAGGCTGAGTCAACCTTGCCCGGCCCGAGGATCGAACCAGGGACCTGTGGCACGACAGCGCTACCGCTCAGCCACCGGGCGTAGATATAAATAAACGGTTCAATATTTTATACTAATGTCTTTTTCCTACTTTTAAAACAGTTAGTTGTAAATTTCTTAAAAAATTAAAGCTAAATATAACTTAAGATCAAAATTTGATTTTGGCATTTATGATAATGCTAATCTATATCATTGAAGACAACTGCCAGGCGGAGGCAGGCCTGGAGGAAGTTGATTGAGAAGGCCAGGGCCCACCCAGGGCTGTCGTGCCATTGAGGAAGGAAGGATATCATTAAAATAGCTATGCACCTAATGAATATTTTCACCAGGGGTGTAAAATATGTCCGATCACCCGAACAAGGTTTCAGGGAAAATTTGGATGGTCCTGGGGAAGTTTTTGGCCTAAACAAGTAAAATTGAATCAGCTGCAATTTGTTTTTGTACAAAAAATTGTCATTCTGAAAATTTAAAATTATAAATGATTACTTTCTCAATACACTTAGATTTCTATTACTTTTTAAACATACGCAAGTTTATTCTAGAATTGTTTAAAATCATAGAAAATTTTCTTCTTTGTTCAAAAAATAAACAATACAAAGTTTAAATTCTAAATACGTTTGGGAAAAGATATTATTGCTGAAATAGAAGAAAAAAAATTCGCCATAATTTAGGAGGGAATTTCAAATCAAAAATTGTGTTCAATAAAAAGATAAGGTTTTGAGAATTTTCTGCATCTTTGTCTTTCACCTACCAATTTTTAGTGATCTTTACAGCTTTATAGGCATAGTAAGTTTTATAAATCCTGAATACTGATATTACACACTATAATACTTATACACTTCTTTCTCTATATTGAACATTTTAATAAAGATTATAAATAAATTATATGCTTTCATTCGACATAATTATCATACAATAATATCTTATTATAAAATTTGACGCAATAAAAATATTATCTTTAAATAAAACTATAACAATAAAATTATTTTCATACAATATAAATCATTTCATTACAAAGTTTAACAGAAATATTCATTTTTTCAAAACAAAAAATTGCAGTGATAATAACAAATTCATAATTAGTACTTTGTGTAAAATATAATACATGGTTATTTAATGACAATAAACAATAACAAATAATAATATCAAAGATTAATAAAATAAGTACCTGGAACAAAAAACTGTCCATCTTGCCCTTGAGTATACTGTACAATAGCACTTCCACTTCCAGTATTTGTCATAGTTAGCGTTTGCAAGCCTTGTATTCCACTATCTTGTGTAGCGGTAGCTAATTGGATGGCTGAAAATAAATATTATCTTAATATTAATAAAAGTATATAAAAATTTGTAAAAGGGCAAACAAAAAAAAAAAAAAAAAAAAGAAAAGAAAGAAAAAAAACTAAATTTCTCATCAGTTGGAAATTGAGACAAAATTTCATAATCAAATAAAAATTTCACCGCAAATTTAAATAATAAATTATTTAAAGATAATCCACAAATCTATTAATTATCAAATCTAGATATACAGGGTGGTCGCAAACACTCAAAAATATTTTCTGTTTTATTTTAAGCATCATTCGTATGCATTAAATAGATAACAAAAAAACTCAAGCATGCCATTAAGGTTGAAAAGACATATTTTAGAAAAATAAAATTATTGCAAGAATAATTGTTTTGGAAAAAAATTATTGGACTTTTAGATACTACCTTAAACTCAAAGCAATTCATTTTTCAAACCATTTTGCATATTTTAGTAAATTTATTAATTTTTCCAAATTGATTTCAAATACAGTACAGAACCCGTTATCATCCGGAAATCAGTAACCGGAAAACCAAAAAACCGGAACGAAATTCGTTAATTTTCCCGCCATTTTTTTAAAAAAAATTGTTTTTTTCCTCATAAGATTTTGGGATTTTTCTTTCTTTTTTGAAAGATGTTTACCTTACCATCATTTCGGAAATAATCATTAGTGTATTACTTCGTTTTTTCAAGATTATTTCCAACTTTTTTTTTTTTAGTTGGGTTTAACAATAAAAAAAACGGCTTTTTGTAGCGATTCAGAAAACCGGAAAAATTAGTTATCCGGAATAGCGAGGGTCCCGATCATTCCGGATAATCGGTTCCCTACTGTAATTCACTTTTCCTTGCTCCGTACTGCACCTAACTGATACAGGTGCGTAGCCAAATCTTCCAACAAAAAATAAGCACCTTTTAAGTACTATATTTAACAAAATGAAAAATAGATTTCAAACACTTTTTTTGATCATGATAAAATAACTTGTTTCTGATAAAGAATTTTTTTTCTTTATTACATTAGCCACCATAAAAAGATTGAGAGATTTTTCGGCTCTATTTATGAGGGTGGGAAATGAAGCTTGAAATTAAGAATATCTTGCAAAATGCAGCAGAGTTGCTCATTAGAGTGAAAGAATCTTACCAAACCCAGGTCAGTATACGTACATGCGGACCTGCAAGTATTTCATAATACATGTAAAATGATAGGTGCTTTCATATGCTATGAACCGAAGGTACGACAAAATGCATCATGTTTGAATAAATCGTGAAAAAGTTTAATAGAACAATGTGAAAACCACGCTTTTGCTTAATACATTGCGAAAATTGACATGGTGAAGAAAAAAATCTCATTTTCGAAAAGCGAAAATTAAGAACTTTGTGATATTATATCAGACTCAAACAATTAGAAATTTTAAATATGTTAAATGAAAAAAAAAAACATAGAAATTATATAAAATTTGTGTATTGCACATTATTAAATGATCAGATCAAAACACATAAGTGTATCAGTGTTTCATTTTCAGTTTTAAGAAATAGCACATTATATTAAAAATGGAAATCGGATTGAAGATTCCTAATGTCAAAGGAAAAAAAATAACTCGATAACCTGCAATCATTTCATTATGTGAATTTTGTTTATGGTGAGGGTGTTTAGTTAGCGTTTGTAGTGAATTATTACTTCAATATATGTAATTTCAAATTAATATACACAATACTTCAGTTTTGTATTCTGAATAATAGTAAAAGTTAAATTAGTAAAAAAAAAAAANAAAAAAAAAAAAAAAAAAAAAGTTTACATTTTTTCTTAGCGCATCAATAAATTTATTGTAAGAAGAATATTTTTTAGATGTTGTGCAGGGTTGCAAGGAACCCACCTGCCCGGGTTTTACTGGGTAAAATCTACTCTGAAAAACCCACCCTAAAGTGGGTTTTACTGGGTTTTTCTAAGATTGATTTCTTTTTTCATCCTCTGTTATATTAAAGAGCTATTCTATTGAAATATATATGTAGTCTAGCCTAAAAAAAATTAACCTACAGTGAAGAAACTAATTGAGTTGGAGACAGGAGAGTCAGATTGCTGGCTAGATTTGACTGTATGGCCATTGATTCACTTTCTATGCAAATAGAAAATTTTCCTCAAACATTTTTTAAGATTAAAATATAAATAAAAAGTAATCCTGTGTTAAAATAAGTTTCAAATGTGTGACGTATGTGAGTACATATAACATTTTGTATCATGATATATGAAGAAACTTTTTTCAGACTTTCACATCAATTTATTTGTATTAATTATCTATATGAAGTCAATTTATAAATTAAACTTAATTATTAATATTAAAATAAGTTTTTTTAAAATAAGGTACTTATCCCTGCCCTCTCTTTTGAAAACCCCCCCATAAAAACATGAAAAACCCAGAAAAGCCTAATAAAACCCACCCGGGTAGGGTTTTTTGTTGTTGTTGTTGCAACCCTGATGTTGTGTCAACACAATTCAGAAATGGGTTAAACCTCTCTACTAATATACTTTTTAATCACAAATCAATTAAAAAAATTTATATTAAAAGGCTTCTTAAACAAAAATCTACAATCACTAATCCTTGACAACGTTTAGAAAGTTCACCTTTCGGGAGTCAGATGGCATACATACATGGGCAAAAAAAGTCATTTATATAGTTAACACACAAGAAATTAGAAAGTTACGATTACAGAGTCAATACAACTTATAGTACCTTTAAGCAATCCTGTTGTGGAGTACTGTGTGCCACCAACAGTGATTGTACTAGCACCACTGTCCTGTTCTTGACTAGAGTCTGTCATAGTGTGGTCTGAGGATTCTTCTTTTAGTACAGCAGTAGGTGCACCTGTTAGGGTTGCTCCATGAGCTTCTGTCGCAGAAAGCTCGTTTAAGATTTTGCGGTAGGAGGGTCTTCGGGCAAGAATTTCACGTCTTTTCTTTGGATCTTCAGAGGATACTAAAGTAACGGTGCCACCATCCTCATCCTTTGCAGTTGTTATTAACTATAAACAAAATTTAACTCAAATGTGAATAAATTACTAAATAAAAGGAAAAAAAAATGTAGAAGGTTAAAAAAGACTATACTCCATGTTCAGAGCCCGACTTTGCCTAATTGGGGCCCGGGGCAAAAACTCCTCTGCTCCCGTAACGGAGAGCTGAACTTTATGGAGATATTTAAATTGTTCACCTCGTTATAGATATATAACAAAAAAATTGACTAGAACCTTAAATAGCGATAAAGTGCTCCCCTCCCCCCTCCAATGGTCAGACGAAATATTGTTCTTTCCATTTTATTGATTTTCTGACAATTCCACGTCCAGCATGCGAAGACAGTTTTCTGATTGTTAACTTTGTCATCTAACTGCAAAAAATTCATATCCTTGTTGACATAAGGGCGGAATTCAACTAAATTATCACAATTACGATAGCTCAATTAAGCCAATCAGAAGCCCGTATTTTTGTAAGCAGATTGCATTTTGCGATATACAAAAATATAGGCTTTTCAATGGCCCAATTTGTCCATCGTAATTGCGAGAATTTAGCTGAATTCCCTCCTAGAAAACCATGGATTTAAGAAATATAGATATTTTGTGTTCATACGATAGATTAATGAAGAAGCTAACATAAAACTGACGAATTTTACACTGTACTGATGTTTTGTTTAAAAAAAAGTTCAATGAAGAAGGAAATTTAAAATGAACTCTCTATTCGATTTGGGGGCCCTCTGATGTGGGGGCCCGGGGCGACTGCCCCGTATGCCCCTGCCTTAGTCAGGCTCTGTCCATGTTACTCTTTTCTCAAAAATAAAAAATTAACTTTTTAACATAACTGAATAACACATGATATCCAATTATCAGGAAAAAGCATTGAATATTATCTACATTAGGTCTAGTACTAATTAACATGGATAAGTATTCTAATTTAAAAATGTGAAAATGCAGCTAGAGTATGAAACATAAGAGATAAATATCATTAAGTATACAATTTTCTACTGAAATAAGAACTACCATCTCACAATTATATCAAAACTTACAATATACAGCCCAGGGCTCGAAAAAACTCAGAAATTTTACCCGTCCCCGAGGACGGCTAGTCCATCAATATACCCGTCCTTCTTTGAAACTAACCTGTCGCTTCTAAATAAGTAAAAATATAATTTTCTCTTATTTGTTGCAAACATTTATATAATTGCATAATGAATTAGTAATTACTAGGATTACATTATACAGTAATAAAAGATGTACTAGGTTACTAATAGTAACCTAGTATTTCTTTTATGAAATAATTTATTTCTTTTAAGAAATAATTTAAATGACAAAGGTCAAGTTATCTGGAATGTCAATTTATTCGATTTTACTGCGTTTTTTAAATGAATCAAATATGACATTTGCCAGTCCGCAATCAAGCCAATGATTTACAGAGATTTCTGCACAGAAATCTGAAAGGGGTTTTCCATTTAGGTAGATGATTCATAATTGCTTTTAACGCTTCTTGTTTATGACCAGTACGTAATGTGTGTTTTTTTAACACAGACGTCACGAGCTGGGCGGTACGTGATAAGAGGAATTGTTAATTCCTTCGTTAGAAGTCCAAATGCACACGCACACAGCAACTTTTCTTCTGTTTGCCGATTACGTGAGCATGCGCATTTGGTCTGACGAAAGAAGTAACGAGATTTCTAGATTAGAGGGTCATTTTAGAAGTGAGGTGCTAGACTTTTGTAAGATAACAAAAATCGAAAATGTATCACGAGCATTAACGGGAAAAAGGGCGGACGTGGGATTCGAGAAATTGGTTGTCCGCGGGGAATTTTTGACCGCCGAGGACGGGCGGACGTATTGTTTTTCGAGCCCTGATACAGCCAAACACATGAGTTCATGGACAACTCCTTAACTGTCAAGTAACATTGAACTAGTTTAAACAAAAATTTCTCTATGTAACATTGCTTTTTAATTGAATGTAATATAGTAACAGGATAAAGTTGAGTCCTAGAATATGAAGATCTGATTAATAGTTACTTTTTTGTGTACTGAAAATTTAGCTACTCAGGAAACTGAAATTTTCCTCAGATTTAAAAATGCTAGTTTCTGTAGCAGCCAAGTATAATTGTGATATTTTCATTACCAAAGCTGATTAAGGTGGGCAGGCCGTTATTTCTCAACCAATCTGATTACTATAATCTTGTTGAGAAAACGTTAGCCTCTGGCCATAACGCAATTTTAAAACCTGACCCTACACTTTCTCTTTCTACTGCAATTAAGAAAAAAATAAAGAAATTCTTGTATCCTTTTGGACCACACTAAACGTAATGACATTTCTTTTATTTCAATTACGTTAATTTAAATTGTATACTAATTAATTCAAATTAGATTGATAGCAATGAGATTTCAAAAACTAAAATTCTGTTTGTCTCTAACTGTGATAAAATAGGATATTACCTGTACAGGATGAACACTAGCATCACCGTCAGTACTGTGTATCACTGATCCAGTTCCAGTCAATTTATTGAGTAAAATGACATTTTTCGGTAGCTAAAAATTGAAAATAATAATTATTTAAACACATGAAAATTCAAAGAAATTGTCTTAATACAATAAAAGTTCATAATAAAANATTAAGTATACAATTTTCTACTGAAATAAGAACTACCATCTCACAATTATATCAAAAACTTACAATATACAGCCCAGGGCTCGAAAAAACTCAGAAATTTTACCCGTCCCCGAGGACGGCTAGTGCAACAATATACCCGCCCTCCTTTGAAACTAACCCGTCGCTTCTAAATAAGTAAAAATATAATTTTCTCTTATTTGTTGCAAACATTTATATAATTGCACAATGAATTAGTAGTTACTAGGATTACAAACACTAGGATTACATTATACAGTAATAAAAGATGTACTAGGTTACTAATAGTAACCTAGTATTTCTTTTATGAAATAATTTATTTCTCTGAAGAAATAATTTAAATGACAAAGGTCAAGTTATCTGGAATGTCAATTTATCTGATTTTACTGCGTTTTTTAAATGAATCAAATATGATGTTAGTCAGTCCGCAATCAAGCCAATGATTTACAGAGATTTCTGTACAGAAATCTGAAAGGGGTTTTCCATTTAGGTAGATGTTCATAATTGCGTTTAACGCTTCTTGTTTATGACCAGTACGTAATGTGTTTTTTTTAACACAGACATCACGAGCTGGGCGGTACGTGATCAGAGGAATTGAACTAGTAACAATATAAAATTACTTAAAAGTGATTTAAAATTTTTTTAAAAATATTGTAAAAATAATTTGAAGGAATTGTTAATTCCTTCGTTAGAAGTCCAAATGCACATGCACAGAGCAACTTTTCTTCTGTTTACCGATTATGTGAGCATGCGCTTTTGGTCTGACGAAAGAAGTAACGAGATTTCTAGATTAGAGGGTCATTTTAGAAGTGAGGCGCTAGACTTTTGTAAGATAACAAAAATTGAAAATGTATCATGAGCATTAACGGGAAAACTGGCGGACGTCGGATTCGAGAATTCATTGTCCGCGGGGAAATTTTGACCGCCGAGGGCAGGCGGATGTACTGTTTTTCAAGTCCTGATACAGCCAAACACATGAGTTCATGGACAACTCCTTAATTGTCAAGTAACATTGAACTAGTTTAAACAAAAATTTCTCTGCATAACATTGCCTTTTAATTAAATGTAATATAGTTACAGGATAAGGTTGAGTCCTGGAACATGAAGATCTGATTAATAGTTGCTTTTTTTGTGTACTGAAAATTTAGCTACTCAGGAAACTGAAATTTTCCTCAGCTTTAAAAATACTTATTTCTGTAGCAGCCAAATATAATTGTGATATTTTCATTACCAAAGCTGATAAAGGTGGGCAGACCAGTATTTCTTAACAAATCTGATTACCATATTTTTGTTGAAAAAACTTTAGCCTCTGGCCATAACAATATTTTAAAGCCTGACCCTACACTTTCTCTTTCTATTGCAATTAAGAAAAAAATAAAAAAATTCTTGTATTCTTTCGGACCACACTAAACGTAATGACATTTCTTTTATTCCAATTATATTACTTTAAATTGTATACTGATTAATTCAAACTAGATTGACAGCAATGAGATTCCAAAAACTAAAATTCTGTTTGTCTCTAACCGTGATAAAGTAGGATATTACCTGTACAGGATGAACACTAGCATCACCGTCAGTACTGTGTATCACTGATCCAGTTCCAGTCAATTTATTGAGTAAAATGACATTTTTTGGTAGCTAAAAATTGAAAATAATAATTAATTAAGCACATGAAAATTCAAAGAAACTGTCTTAACAATAATAGTTTATAATAAAAAAAGAGTCAATATAATACTGTTAGGGCACAACAGACTAACAGAAATAAAATATCAATATACTGTTTGTACAGTATAATTCAATAATAAAATGTTTATGTTAACCTTTGATTTGCTTTTTAGTCAACTAGCATATTTATACAAGATTATGATTTTTTTATGTTTTACATAAATTTTTAATTTTAAAAACTTGAAAATGTAAGAAAAGATAACCTGTTGACTAGAGGAAGATGGAAGTATTTAAATACTCAATTGTAGCGTCAATAATATAACTAATTTTTTTTTTATTTAAAAAGTAAAATGCATTTCAGGACTGAACTTGCTTTTTGACCAATTAACACAGTGTCAAGCTATTTTGAATTTTTCAGAAATATATAGCTCACTTTCCATGAGAATGGCCCACATATTATAGCAAAAATAGATTATTTTTTTCTTAAATAAAAAAATATTTTTTTTTACATCAATTGCTAAAGCCCACTACAATTTTTTTTCTTGGAGCCATGCATATTTTTACTCATTTTACACTTCATTAATGCTTTGTCTTAGATCAATAAATTTGATATTTTTTTAAAAAAAATTTAAATTTAACTTTGCCCACTGTCTCAAAATGTTGGGGGGAAAATACAAACTCAAGCAGATTTAGATTCAACAATATTTTGTTTAGACAAGCATATGTTGAAAGTCAATCAATCCCATTCTTTCATTGTGATGTGACATTATTACTAAGGGGTTTTGTTGGAGATCTGCTGCTTTTTAGCGCATTTTTTTCAAAGAAGTTTTTTCAATTTAGAATTAAAAATATTTGTGTTTTCTTTTAGTATTGTAATTTTCAAATTTGGTTTTTGCTGCATTTTGCGCTTTTTCTTACTTGAAAAATTTAAAAATGTAATTTGATTAAATTTCTAGCTTTAGGTGTTTTCTAAATATTTTAAAATGTCAAAGGGGTTTTGTTGAAGATCTGCTGCTTTTTAGCGCATTTTTTTCAAAGAAGTTTTTTCTATTTAGAATTAAAAATATTTGTGTTTTCTTTTAGTATAGCGACATTATTACTTAATCATTTTGCAATAATTATAAAAAGAAGAGAAAAAAACATTTTCATAAATAACAATAATTTATTTTAATTATTATTGCATTTTTAAAGAAAAAGTTAAACTTGCAAATGAAAACTTAATTTGGAGAACAAATTAAAAATAAACATTTAATGGGGGACAGAAAATCATTCCATTGCTTATTTTTCTTAAGACTGATTTCAGTCCTCAAGACTGAAGAGGGGTACTTATGTTTTTAGGTTCAGAATTTCATTTTGTATGCCATAAAATGCAACTGTTTCAAACATTTTCAAGATTGACCCCTGCTACTATACCTGAACGGACTGAAGAGTTGTTCCACCCGGGGCTTGTATCACAGATTGTTGGTTAGGACCAGGTTGAATCACTGACTGCACATGGACAGGTTGGTTCTGAAGGGCAACATGAACAATGGAAACACCTCCACCTGCCTGGGGGACAGCTATAGCTTGCGTATTTTGCTAGAAAAAATAGAAGAACATATTAGCATCATGAAATAAAAATGAGATATCTTCATAATATATATATAAAATCAATTAGAATAACGACTTAATATATAACAGGAATTAATAAGCAAAGCATTTTCAGAAGAACATGATCACATTGAAATGATTAATATATTAATTTTGCAAGCTAAATAAAAAATGTGGTATGCTAAGCTTTAAAATTTGACACAATCTACAAACTATATAGCTGTAAAATTATTTATCCCTCACAAAGACTTATGAGATATATTTTATTTTATTACACATCAATCTGAATAATCACAGTTTAAGTGATTCTAATTCTAGATTTGAAGTTGCAACCTTTGTTGTTCCACTTGATGGATCCACTTAAGGCATGCAGACTAATTACTTACTGCTATAAATATGTTTTTCGCATAAATTTTAAACTTTTTTGATGCTATGATCTTAATACCATGCTTTAATCTAATCCAATTTGTGTTGTGAATATTGGTAAAAGTAAAAAAAAGTATATGTATAAAAGGTTCTTTGACTAAGTTTGAAAAATAAAACATAAATCTAAAAATAATTCGAAATAAAAGGATAGAGCAATATTCACAGAGGATCCATCGTACTAAAAATAGGGCAATGCCCATCATAAGGCGATGATCCTTGGACCTTTTCCCGTTTGTTAGTTCAAAATAAAAACATTCAATTATAAAAATAATTTTGAATACATAATAATCAAGTCCTTAATACATAAAACCATTTCAAGTTAGTGTAAACCTTTATGGAATTAAGAGGTCAGTCTAAGATCTAATACCTATTAGCTGTAATCAAATCTCAGACATGTAAAAACAATACTTTACATTAAACCAATTTGACACTACTGTACATGCAAAAGAATTTATTATTTTATAATCCGCTGCATAAAATGCTAAGTAGGTTAGATTAAATTATATTTGAATTAAATTGCTGGTTAAGGATTTATAACAATTTAGTACATTTAATTATTTTAACAAAATAATAAGAATAAAATTAGTCTTAATTGTAGAAATAATTTATAAGCCTAATTTAGTTAAAACGGGGGTAAAGGGTGTTTAAAAAAAATTTCTTCAACAAGCCAAGAAAAATAATAATAAAAAAGGACAAACCTTAAAAAAAAAATTGAAGCTTTTATTTCAACTAGGCACTATATCCTGTTGAAAACAATTGTTTGAACTTCAAAATGGACAAATAGCTTAAATATTTTTAATTTTTTAAAAAATGTTTTCAAAAAAAATTGCTAATTTGGCAAGATTTTTACACCCAATAAAAAATCATTAAAACAAAGAATAATTCTCAATTTTTGCATATTTTCATGTTCCCAAATAAAGCCACAAAGAAAATTTTTAATAAAGAAAAAAATATATCTTAAGCATTTTTCATTTCCATAAAAATATCCTTTTTTTCCTTCATGAACACAGCAGCCCTTTACAAGCTTTAGTAACAGCAACTACACGCAATTTTCAACATTTCCTGTCCTCGGTGGTGACTCTTCTCCAATTTATTACTTTCAAGACCCCTAGGTCTTTTACAATGTTGTCTAGCCATCTAGTTGGAGGTTTTCTTCTGGCCCGAGATCCCATAAAATTTTTAAAAGTATTGATTTTAAGTGCTTTACTTTTTCTCCAGGAATGGCTAAGCCATCATAACCCATTACTCAGAATGAACTATAGTCCAAAACTATTGCTTTCTCATAACGAGTGACATTTTACATTAGTTTGATAATAAGCATAGGAAAGTGGGCAAAACACAACAATACCTAACTGATTGTCAAGAATAACTGTTACAAATGCACAGCAGTTATAAAAATAGCATATTATTTTGCTAAAAAGCATTATTTTATACTACCACAGAGTCTCAAAACAGTCTTAATCCAAAATGAAAGACAATTTTGTGTTTCATAATGAAAAACTAAGACTATCTTAAAACATCTTCAACGCGCCGTGGCTGAGCGGTAGCGCTGTCGTGCCACAGATCTCTGGTTCGATCCTCGGGCCGGGCAAGGTTGACTCAGCCTTTCATCCCTTCAATGGGTCGATAAATGAGTACCAAGCATGCTTGGGAGCTAAACACTGGGGGTTTCAGGGTTCGGCTGACCACCTCACCGAAACATTTGCTCCTGCACCCCAGAGCCCAAAGGTTAAGAAAACTGAGATGGGCACAGTAGGCCTTGGCCCTCTATGGGCTGTCGCGCCGCTGAATTTAGTTTTTTTTAAAACATCTTCTCATTAACTAGACACAACATGTCACAAATCAAAAAATAAGAAGCATAAATGTAATATACCATGATTAACCATTGAGAGGCAACAAATTAGGGTGCATAATAATTTTTTAAAAATCAAAGTTAGTCAATCTGGTCACACCCTATCTTTTCAAGGTATAATTGAGAATTAACCACTATAACACCTGATGACTGCTCGCTTGAAGCTCTTTTTACTTTTTATTTATTTTTTGCCATAAAAGAGGCAATACCGGATAGCAGGACAAGTCAAGAAAGCACATAAAATTTTTTAGCCACACTTGACTTCATTTATTCACACGAAAACACAAAATTGCCTTTGTATACATTACAGAACTTTAATGGCTCATTATTTAACTAAATGTCAAACAAGCATGCAAGAGAAACAGAAAAGCAATGACACAAAAAGCAGAAAGGGCAAAAGAGGAAAGAAAGCAGGCAAGTTAGCAAAAATGGAATACCCACATGCTTGACCTGTGCAGGGGCAGCAAGAACCACAGTTCCGTTGGCCCTCACCTGAGCTGTTGTGCCTGATGTCCGGTTTCCACTGTCATTCTGGCCAACGGTGCCACTGCCTACATTGGAGGATTGGTCCGCTTGTGATGTCTCAACCGTGGCACTTTGGTCGGCCACCAACGTCTCCATAGCATGCTGCAGAAAAGATAGAGGGAGAGAAGCTTCAAAGCGATGATCAAGCAAAAGAATTTTTTTTTTTCAATTATAGCAGGCAAATGAAGGGGTGATATTTTTTTGCACATAAAATAAAAGTGTATCATGTAAAAAACCCAAAAGACAGGATATACAGGAAAAATTAGAGCACAGTGCAATATTCATAAATGTATATTGTTCAAGAAACAAGAGGTCTTAATTAAATTGACTGTTATAAAGAATTGACTAATTCCTAATATAAAATACAATTATTTAGCTGTTTTGTTTATGCCTAGCTAAACTTTTTTTTTTAAACAAAAAAAGTACGACATTGTCTTAGAGAATTTGTCGTTTTTTGTTTCCTTGACAAATAGATAATTGCAATTGTTTTGTATGATTATAATAGCCATTTTAAATTGTATAAACAATTATTTCTGAAACAATTAGGTAAACATAAAAGCGCAATATTAAAATTTGCCAAACTTAAATTTTAAAATGCGGAAAACTATCAAAATTATTAAATCTAATAATTTTATACAGTCATAAGGTTACATGTAACAGCAAATATTCTGGGACGCAAATATGGAAAAGATTTATTTTTGGTATTTGAAAAAGCTAATATACTATAACTTTCAATGTATATAGATATTTATGTTGAGTGAAAATGTGGAAAATAATAAAGATTAATGAAAAGAGAAAAAAAAAATATTTTAAAAGAAAAATATATAATTAAAAACCAGAAAACAAAATAATGAAATTTAAAAAAAAAAAAAAAAATTCGTCTATTTTCATTAATTTTTATTTTTTCCATGTTTTCTCTATATTTTTAACTTATTTTATGAGTTCTATATAGGTGCAGCTTGTGCACAGTAAATTAAACTTAGTAATTTTCTTTCTTTTTATCCTTCTTGTGTATATTATATATATATAAACTGAAGTCGAGATTATATATTTTCCTTTATTTCGTTTTCGGGCTTTTTAATTTGATTATTTCTTTTAAAAAATTTAAAATATTTTTTAAAGTAGTTTTTTATTAATAATTTTTCCCATTTTTAAAAAATTTGTAAATTTTTTTCCCCACGTTTTTTTTTTGGATTTTTAACTTATTTTATGGGTTCTATGAATTTGCAGCTTGTGCATAGTAAATAAAACTTAACATTATTTTTCTCTATAATCTATCTTCCTCAAAAATTATTTAGAGAATCATTTTATAAATTTAATAATGTTTCGATTAAGAGATTTCTCCTTTATATACAATGATGTTTAAAATTTTTAAAGGGTTTGAATAAATTAAAATGACAATAAATTAAAAACGGGGAAAAAAGTATTTTTGATTAGCGTACGACAAAAAAAAAAAAAAAATGAAGNAGCAATTAATTTGCAACTTGTCATAGCTATTTTGGTTATTACATGCAACAATTGCACAAAATTCGTAAACTTAGCTTAAATATTTATGGAGTTACGGACATTTTTATAAAAAGCTGATATTTTTGGAGCAATTTAAAATTAATTGCAAAATTATTGCCTAAAAATTTGCGAAAAAGTAGTTTAAAACTACGCAAGATATGAGCAATTAAAGTAGATATTTTATACTGCCCATACGCGAGGAAAACTAAAAGATATTTTGTCGTAATTTCGTAGAGAATCGTATTAACAACTAATAAAAAAATATAAAATTATGACTTGAATATCTTAAAAATTTATTAAGTTTTAAGCAATTTTCTAAGCAGTTTTTGTAATTTTTTTTTTTAAAAAAAGCTCAAAATGATAAGGGGTTTTTCACATAATATAATTTATACTATAAAACAAGATTTATTAAAAAAGATAACGGCATTGTTAGGGATCATCCCCACAAAAGTTTCTTTTCTTTCCTTATTAAATCATACTTTGGTGCATGAATGTTTATTTTGAGGTATTATCATTTGTCTATAAATTTTGCCTAATGATACAAAATAATATTTGTAGAAATTTCCTTATCATTTTTAGCTTTCTTCTAACTTTCTTTTAGAAAATTGCGTGCAGCTTTTTAAATTTTTAGAAATTCAAATCGGAATTTTTTCACTTGTTGCTAAATACCATTCACTACAAAATTATGGAAAAAAAAATTAATTTTTTTTATGGTGCATGCGCAGTATAAAAGAACTACTTTAATTACTGATATATATCACAGTTTTCAATAATTTATTTTAAAAATTTTAAAGCAAAATATTTGTAATTAATTATTTTTATTATCATTTTTCTTCCTCTTTTTTACAAAAATGTCCATATTTTTCATAAATATTTAAGTCAAGATTATGAAATTTTGTGCTATTATTGCATATAACAACCTAAATAACTGTCACAAGTTAGAAATACATTGATACATTTTTTGGCATAAGTGTTCAAAAACTTTATTTTCCGCTTGTGATTTATTGTTGTTCCTTCAAATTTTGTTTGTTCCAATATTTCTTTCCATCTCCTTTTTAGAACTAATTTAAATAGATAAAAAAAAAAATCAAAAAAATCAAATATATATTAACTTGGTAACTGTTTAGAACTTATGTAATTTAACATGAACTTGCATGGTATAGTGCAATTTCCCTAGCTGGATAAATAAGTACACATTCAGTTTAAATTTTCCAATAAAGAGATGAATTATTACACAAGCACTTGAAAATAAGGATGCAACGAATAGTGTTGGCCGAATACCGAATATTCGACCAAAAAAAATCGGCCGAATACCGAATGTTCGACAGTCGAAAGCAACATTTGTTCTTTTAAAAATTATCAATGAATATTTTTTTATATAAATAAATTTAGTCATCATTGAAAAATAATCAAAACTTAGCTATATTATTGGTATGGGAAAAAGAGAAAAACTACAATAGAAATATTTAAAGATAAATAAAATAACTGACTCACAGCTATTGAAAAAAAAAAAAAAAAACTTTTCCTCTTAATTCTAAAAACAAAACTTTAACGGTAAAAAAAATATTTTCTGAGGAAAAAAAAATCAACCATAAAACGTTAAAAGAGAGATAGTTTATCATAAAAGATCTTAAAAATGCCGCGCTATCATAAAAAATCCATTAGAAAAAATTAGAAGCAAAAGCAAATCAGACAAAATAAAAATCGATCTTGATTTTTGAAAGAAAATTTAAAGCTAAAGATCTCAGTTTTCCAACAATTATATTTTCAAGAAAATGTGAAGAAAAAATAATAGTCTAATAGAAACCATCTGAATTGCTGTGTCATAATAAAAACCTCTATAAAAAAATTTAAAAGAAAAAGTAAAATTGGAACTAAAACAAAAATCATTTTTAAAAAATTTAAGTAAACTTTTTCACATTGTCGTATTTTTAGAAAAAAGTGTCCATAAACGAATAATGTTCATTAGAAACGCTCTTAAAAAATTCTGTGTCATTTAAAAATCGCGAATAAAAAGAAAAGTTAGAAAGCAAAAGTGAAACAGAATTTTTTTTTTCTTAGTTCAAAAACATAACTAACTTTGAGAATCACAGTTTTTTAAGTCATTGGCTATCTGTTTTACCCGAATGGAAAAATATGACAATGAAACAAAGATCAGTACAAAGTAATCTTGTTCCAATTCTTCAAATTTTGCTTTACAGAACATAAACTAATAAGTTTTAGAGCAGCATGTATGTATAAAAACTATTTCTAATAATGTGAATGCATAGTAAAATATACGATTTTAAATTATTTATTAAATGTATACAAATTCTTAAAAATACTTTGCCGCATATCTGGCCGAACCCTTGGTCAAATATTCGTTCAATAAAATATTCGGCAAAAAGGCCGAATACCGAATATTTGTTACTTCTCTACTTAAAAAATCGGTTGTGAATTGCTTCTGTTACTATTAATAGGGAAGAGGAGTCAAGAGTAAGGCTAAAGTAAGATACTAAATTGCAAGGACAAATTTTCTATTGGAAAAAAAAATCTTACGGAAGGACAGTGGTTCACTCGCAAAAAATATGTTTATTTTATATTTTTACTTGTTTTAAAAAGAAGTGCGAAAGATTTCGATTTTGTGATATCCACTAATAAGCCAATAAGGTAGCTAAAACAAGAATCTTCTGATTTATTTTTTAGAAATCAGTTTTAAAATATTTATTACATCTAAGGAAGTAAAATTTAGAGTTTTGAAAAGAATTTTTTCTTTTAGTTTAGTTTTCGATACTTCATAAAAAAACCATGATTTTCTCTCTTTATTTTTCATTTTTATTCATTTTCAATAAATGTTTATTCAGCCAACGTATTAAAAACGGATCTCGCAGGAAGAGGTAGGAAGTTGAGTCACAGCCCAGAGAACCACGCCGACAGGCCTGACGTCATATTTTGGTCATGTGATTTTCCTTATTTGGTGATCGCGTCACTGCCTGCGTCATCAAGAGGAAAAGAATGATAAAGGAGTGGTTCTAACAGAAATATTGTTTTAAGAAATTTAGGGAAATTAATATAATGGGAGCTTGTTCTGTTAATTAAGATAAAAGCAAAGCAATTTTGTAGATTTAAAATAATTTCAAACATACTTTTCGTAAAGAATACAAAGAATTTATATTGGCCATTATTTTATACACAACAAACTTAGATAAACATTTTGCCTTTAAAATTTATTATAGAATAACAGTGCATAACTTTCGACCTATGAATAATCAATGCACTACCCCCAGTTTTTCGAACAAGAATAAGTATTATTAATTATGACTAAAGATGACATTACATGCTTAAAAAATTTATAACCGTCTTTCAAACTAACTTCAATAAATTAATAAAAAAAAAATATTAAAAATCCGCAATGTAGAGGTACTAATTCAAAGTGTAAAAAAGAGATTTAAATCTTTTTACATTTTAATTTTTTTTCAAAAAAAATATTTTTAGCCATAAACAAGTTTAAAATAAATGCAGCTCAAAAATTAATTTACGGGAACAAAAATGCAAAAAGATTTAAATATAATATAGATTTTAATATTGATAAAATTAATTTTTCAATAGAGAAAGTT